TGCTCAATGGGGACAGTTTCAGTTTTACAAGATGAACAGTTCTGGTGATGGGTGGTGGAGATGGTTACACAACGATGTGAATGGCCCTGGCCGGTTTGGCTCAGTGGATAGAGTGTCCGCCTGTGGACTGAACGGTCCCGGGTTCAATTCCGGTCAAGGGCACATGCCTGGGTTTCGGGCTTGATCTCCAGTAGGGGGTGTGCAGGAGGCAGCTGATCAGTGATTCTCTCTCATCATGGATGTTTCTATCTCTCTCTCCCTCTCCGTTCTTCTCTGAAATCCTATATAATAAAAGCCTAATAAGCAAATTGACCGAACGGCAGGACGACCAGTGGAGTGATGGGTCGCTATGACATGCACTGACCACCAGGGGACAGATGCTCAATGCAGGAGCTGCCCCCAGCCCGCAGGCCCCAGGTCAGCCAAGGTGGGTGCCAGCAGGACCCCCCCCCCGCCAATTGCCCCACTGGTCGCCCCACAGATCAGCCCTGATCACTGGCCAGGCCTAGGGACCCTACCCATGCACGAATTTCGTGCATCAGGACTCTAGTTAATAATAATAAAAAAACTAATGTGAATGGATTTAATGCCACTGAACAGTACACCTAAAATGGTTAAAATGGTCAATTTTATGTTATGTGTATTTTACCACAATAAAACTAATTAGAAGAAAAAAATCTTTCCAAATGATCCAACAATTCCACTCTTAGGCAGCTACCCAATAGCAGTTAGAGAAATCACTTTTTTGTAATTGTCATAGCATTAATTGGCCCAGGCAATAATCAACAATAAGTGCTAAAATTATTGGGTAGAACCCTGGCCAGTTTGGCTCAGTGGATAAAGTGTCAGCCAACAGACTGATGGGTCCTGAGTTCAATTCTGGTCAAGGGCACGTGCCTAGGTTGCAGGCTCGATCCCCAGTAGGGGGCATGCAGAAGGCAGACAATCAATGATTCTCTCACATCACTGATGTTTCTACCTCTCTCTCCCTCTCCCTTCTTCTCTGAAATCAATAAAATTAAATATTATTGGGTGGAATTTTGTTGGGGAGCAGGATATTGACATAATCTCAAAGTATTTTCCTACAGAATACATATTTAATTACAGAGAGAAAAATATCTTACTCAAGAAACCCTTGAATGTCGCCTTGAGACAGGCCAGCAAGCCAGGACAGTGGAATAGGAAACTGAGACAGACAGCTAAACAAACTGGCCGAGCAATTTACAGCAGATCCAGAAGGTCACCTCCTGAGAGAGAACATCTAGGCCTCAGCGTATTTCGGCTCCAGGCCCAGAAAAGCAGTCAAACCAGGTGTGCGACACCAGGACCAGCTGCAGTGACTAATGACCCCCTGCCCTGACACTGACCAATCGGTGGAGACCATGACCCTGAAGGAGCACACCTAGAAAACGGATGAATATTTTGCTAAAACCCTGCCCTGAGACCCCCCCGCCCCAATATTCCCTCCTGCAAGAGAGAGATAAAAACCTCAAGACAACGGACCCAGCACACGCTCTCCCTCTCAGGAGCACCCCCTCCATTCCCTTCCTCCTCTTCTTCCCCCACAGGCCTGCGTCTCCTAAATTCTGAAGGACCCCAGGAGGCTTGCAACCAGGGGAGCAATGGACAGCGGTAGCTCGTCCCAGGTTTGCCCCTGAACCTGTTCCCAGGCCTCCTTTTCTCTGACTTCGCAGAGAGCTAGGGAAACCCAGCCTAGGCTCTCTTGTTGCTTCTTCTGTGCTAAGCCCTTTCTTGTTTTACTGTCCCAGCTTTAATAAACGTTCCCTCATAGTCATCTGGGACTTGGGTTGTGAAATTTTTCCTGCACGAAGTCAAGAACCCACACACTATCAGCCAGCCCTAGGCAGACCCGCCAGGGGCCAGGCCCCTTTCGGTAACAGCCTTCACCAAGAGATCCAAGTTAGCATCACCGGAGAGGCAGTAAATACACAAGGCTGGCCTGGCATCACACACTGAGGAGGAAACACCACTTCTTCTATGATATTCCCACCAAAGCATACAACCTGCATCAGGTCATGGGGAGGCATCAAACAAACCCACACTGAGGACATCCCACAGAATAACTGGTCTATACTTTTTAAGAGTCAAGGTCATGAACGTTCAGGAAAGACAAAAAAGGCTAAGCCTGTCTTGGATGAAAGGAGACCCAAGATGCATGAAACTAAATGCAGTGAGTGGTTCCCGACTGGATACTAGAACGGGGGGAAGTGCTGCAAAAGACAACAGTGAGGACATTTTCTTATGAGCTGTAAACTAGACAATGTTAGTGTATCAGTGCCCAGCCGGCATGGCTCAGTGGTCGAGTGCCGACCTATGAACCAGGAGGTCAGGGTTCGATTCCTAGTCAGGGCATATACCCGGGTTGCAGGCTTGATCCCCAGTGTGGGGCATGCAGGAGGCAGCTGACCAATGATTCTCTCCCATCATTGATGTTTCTTTCTCTCTCTCTCTCTCTCTCTCTCTCCTTTCCTCTCTCTGAAAGCAATGAAAATATATTTAAAAATATATTATTGTATCAATGCTAGATTTCCTGAATTTGACTATTGCATTCTGCTTATATAACAGATTTTTTTTCCATAGGAAATACATGGTGATCTGAAGTAAAGATGCACCATATCGCCAACCTACTCTCAAATTATTTAGAAAATTAAGGGAAAAATTGTCCATATTCTCTATGGAATACATAATACACTTTTAGATTTTGCATATAGAGAAATATAAAGCAAAAGGTTAACCATGGGCAGACCTAGCTCAGGGGTCAGCAATTTTTTTCTGAGAAGAGCCAGAGTAAATAATTTCAGGTTTGAGGGCCAGACAGTATCTGTCAAAACTCTGCCCCCCAGAGGAAAAGCTGCCAGAGACCATATGTAAATGGATGTGGCTGTGTGCCAATAAAACTTTATTTACAAAAACAGCAGCAAGCCGATGGTTTGCTGAACCCTAACCTAGATGCAGGGTAGATGGGACTTCATTGCAATAGTTCTGCAACTTCTGTAGGTTGAAAGTATTTTCAAAATAAAAAGTGAAGAAAATATGGATTTCCCAACTTTGTGGTCAGAGTGTGGTCTCTAAATATGTCCCGTTAAAAGGAATCAGGGCTCCTTGGAGAAATGGCCAAATGCAGAGCTGGGGCTGTGAAAGTATAGGACAAGACAAAAGCATCTCACTGTGCCAGAACTATGACCTCTGAGGCCACAGGGGTCATGTCAACAGGACCGAGGAGCCAACTCAAAGAGGTCCCACTGGCCACCAGCCAAGGGATGCCTGGGGCTCGAAGAAGCTGGGAGAGGCAGGAGGGATCCTGCCTAGAGCCCTCAGAGGGAGTGTGGCCCTGCTGCTGCCTTGATCTCACACTTCCATCCTCCAACATTGGGAGAATACATTTCCGTTGCTTTAAGCCACCCAGGCTGTGGTGCTTTGCTACGGCAATCCTAGGAAAAGTATCTGACCAGCATCCTCAACACTGTCAAGGTCACCAAAAACAGGAAAAGTCAGAGAAACCATCACAGCCAAAAGGAGCTTAAGATGTGACCACTAAAAGCCATGTGGGCTCCTGGGAGTACAAAAGGATATTAGGGGGAAAACTGAAGAAATCTGAATAGAGTGTAAGTTTTAGTTAATAATGTGTCAGTATTAGTTTATTGGTTGTAAAAAAAAAAGTACCATATTAATGTAAGATGTTAACAGTAGGGGTATTTGGGTGCAATTTTATAAGGCAACTCTCTGCACTACCCTCACAATTTTTCTGTAAATTTAAGACTATTCTAAAACATAAGGTTTTTTTTTTAAGTAAAAAAAAAAAGGGGGGGTGTTGAATGAATAGAATCTTGGCTGTGTGACCTCCCAAGTGCATGACTTCAGTCAAATTATTCAGCTTCTTGGTGCCTCAGTTTTCTCATCTGTAAAATGGGCACGACAGGGCTTGTGCTACATGGGCCATCCCTGCGGGTGGTGGGTCACCATAATCTGGCTTAAGTAGAGCCATTATCTTCATCTTCACCAGAGATGGGTGGGAGCTGCCGCTAGAATTTTGGGTAAATAGCAACATAGGGTGGGCTTAAATGCGCCCCCCTCCAGGAAGAGAGGCTGGACTCTACCTCTTGGCTCAGAGTGTGCGCTTTCCTGGACAGCTCTATATGCCGTGCCCAGCACAGGGGGGTGAACAAGTATAACCCTTTTTTCCTTCCTTCCCCATGTTTCTACCCTTCGTGGGACAGGAGACCTGAGAAGGGACCGCGGGGGGGTAAACAGGGCACCCCTGAGAAATCACAGGTCTCCAGAATGTCATCTCTTTAATGTCCAACTCACAAGCGGCCCTGCAGATGAGGGAATAAATACAGGTTGTAAGATGCAGCGCACCCAGCCCCCAGCCTAGGAAAGAGGGGGAGACCTGTGAGCCTCCGTTTCCCTCGTCTGCAAACCGTAACAGAACACACTTCGAGTCACGAGGCTCTTAACACCGTTTTCCAGGGGTCTCTTCCCCACCTAGGGCGGCCTCTGAGCTACCCAAACCTCAAACTGGGAGATACCACCCCCTGTCCACTAAGGGGCGCCAGAGTCCGGTTCCTGGGCCTGCGGGACCCCTGCCCGATCCCTGAGGGGGTGTACCACCCCCGGGGGTCCCGGACTTCTTCCCAGGAGGGGACAGACCCGGAGCGGGGGTCCTGAGTCTTCCGTCCTCTGCTCTCTTCATCTTTCCCTCCACCCCGGGGACCCCAGGTGGCCATTGTGCTCCTTTTTCGAGGAGTCAAGAGTGGGGACCCCAGGAGCTGTCCTAGCAAAGGGCAGAGAAGCGGCGGCGACTGGCTTTCCGCAACTCACTCGTGGGCCCCCCGCCACGTGGGCCTGGAGCGACCGGGGAGGCATC